GTGCGATATGGTTCATGGGGTCACAAAGAGTTGGACACGATTTAACAACTGAACAAAAAATGAATTTTAAAAACTTTCTCTATAGGTAATATAATAGGATCTTGGGGGTTTTTACCTTAAAACGGTAAGTTTTTAAAAAAATGATATTTTACAAACTCTGTACTCTAATCTGTCATTTATATCTCAAATTGGCCCCCAAAAAGTATTTGTTATATTTTATGTAGCATTGTATACTACTGTATTACAATGATAGACTAAAAGGGGGATTGAGGAAACTAATGAGAACATTTTCTGAGTACTGTCAAAAAGGATTGTTACAGATGTGGAGTGGTAAAATGAATGTACTTGTAGGTCTAAAACATACCTGATAAAGAGTTTTGAACATACAGTTTTCAGCTGAGCTTTTTAATAATCAGGAGCACATGGCGTTCAACAAAAATATAGGATTGAAAATATTTTCTTGAAAAATGCCACTTCATAGGTTTAGCACTGTAAAATTTCAATACTAAACCCTTCACTAGTTTGTTGGGCTCAACCCAAATATATTTCCTTTCCTTTCCTTTTTCTCCGTTCCAGACTATTTTCTATATGCGGTATCTCTTCATGACTAGAAGCTGATCTGCCATTTTTACACAGGCTTGTAGTAAGATTTTTAATTAGTGGCTTTGGCTGGAATGTTTGTTAATTTGCTTTATTGTTGTCCAGTGGTTTGAAGATTCTGCTTTTAACCTTCAAGGTCAATATTATCAAACAAATACATAAGCTGAGTTTGTCTACATAGAAAAGTATATCCTGATATGACTGTGCAGACGACACTATTGGAAAATGGTTTCATGTATTTCATTTCATTCCTTTTATTGAGATTTGTATTAAGAATTCCTCCACTATTATATTCTAAGAGTACTGTCCGGATTTTCATGTAATTTTTCTTCACGGATTGAGACAAGTGACAAAGTCTGCAAAAGTTTACAGTTCTTATTAATGTAAAGTTTACTGTGGTGCTTTTATAAAAATAAAATATTATCTTTAATGTTTTTTAAATCTCTTTGCATATATTAATTGCTCCATCTGGTGACTATTGGAAATAAACGTTTATTTATCTATATTCATATCTGAGTGAAGAATCAAAATACATTTATGGTTACATGTTTTACAGAGAAAGCAAATAGCAGATTAGATGTTAGATATTCTAAGTTAAATAGATGAGGTTGTGGGGTAGAAAACATTGGGACCCAAAACAGGAGTTATATTTTTAGTTCTTCTGTTTTAATTGTGGATATTGATCTTTTAGGATTTGCTTATGTCTATCTCCCTGTGCATAACTCTGCATATTCTATTTCAGCATATCAGTCTATCCACTAAGATCCAAGGAGACACACACGCATACACACAAACACTGACTTGACATGCAAATATCAAATTGCTCATTCACTGGTAGAAGCTGCCAAAACCTTTATCCAGAAGGCCAAAGCAATTAACTGACAAATAACTGTTATACTGAAACACAAAAGGAAAAGATACAAGTCTGTATTCCACTAGATAGTTAAGGATAAATTAAATTCATTTGGAAGCACTCTAGCATGGTTTATTGTTTTATTAGGAAGTAAATAATTTGTGTAAAGCATTATGGTGAGGTTTGTGGTGAATGAAGATTTTGTAAAGTAGTTAAAGGCATAATCTGCCTCAGAATAATAGCTATAAAAACTGTATCTGATTCAGCAATATACTTGCCCAAACAGAATGTGCTTAAATTATGGGTTATACTGGATTATTCAATATAAACTCTGTTCAGCTAAATATTTGTACTGATAAATTGAGAATTAACATTCCCAACATTCCCAAGAGTATAGTGACTCAGATTCTATACAAGCAACACAATAGCCAGACTTAATGCTTCAATGAAATTGTAAGTATCACAGAGAAACATCAGTTTCTTTAAAACCAACTTTTTACTATGAAACTTACCTCCACAGTCTCAATTGTCAAACGAAACAAAACACACAAATACATTTAATACAATCACATTCTTTTCTCTTCCTTATACAAACACAACAAATAGAAATATGGGGTGGAGAAGACTTGTGTGTGTGTGTGTACAATAAGCTCACTAGTCCTACAGGTTAAGCAACACCAGGTTAAATAGTTAAACTGGAATACAGTATCTTTAGGGTCTCTATTCATGTAGGAGCACTAAAGGTGAACTGTACAACTAAAATCTGTGGGTGTTCAAAATTGCGCACAAGAAAGAATTTGAAACGTTTCAGAACAATGTCTCAATCCAGAAACTCTTAAAACAGCGAAGGCTGAAAAGATAGAGGAAGAAGAATTCTTTTTTTCATGTTACAGAAATTAAAGATAAATTGGAGTGAATCATATTTCATAATGTAAACACCTACCACATATCTAGGTTTGCTGATTGCCACCAGGCTGGCTAGAAAATCTTCATCGTACAGCTGGCTAAAGACATGAGAGTCGTAGGCCATCACAATGGAAATTTCTTCCATCATGTTGTCAGCAAACTCTGTTAGCAGTGACTAGCAACAGGACAAAGAATTAGCTCAGTTCAGCTTAGCCCTATGTGACTTGCTCACAGCAGTCACCTGAAGGGACTAGGAAGGGAGTGTCACTGAAGGAACAAAAAAAGGAAAAGGAGAAAGAAAAAGAAAGAAAAGCTCACTGCAGCCAATAAGAGCAGTTCCTGGATGCTGCTTTTCCTTTGGGAGTTTTCCTGATCTCTGTGGGACACAAGTAGTTGAAACACCTGTGCGTATGTTCAGACGGTAACAGTCTTTCCTTCAGGTTTTCTTCAACCATTAAAAGTAACCTTCTAACAGAAAAGTAAATCCAAAAGAAGCAAAGAGATAGAGGAACGGTTCAGTTCACAATGAAGATCTCCTGTGTTCCCACAAAGCGTTCTTTAAATGCAATATTGAATCACGCTAAAGATTCCTTTTAGTGGAGGAGTCAGATTTCTCAAGGCAAGTTGCTTTACGCTTATTCCACAGATTCTCACAGAAGACATGAATAGCATTCTGCCACAGTTGGGATTTTTCTGTATCCTGCCGAATATTTTCAAAAGAATCCTTAGTTTGGTAGGTTTGATATGTTTTCAAGGTACGTTTGTTTTTTTCTTTGAACTATTCTAACATAAAAAAAAGAAACAGATGTCTTTTTAAATGGAGGTGCAAGATTACAGAACCAAGCTTTCTTCATTAGTCAAAAAGCAACATCCCAGCTCAAAGGGGTAAAATCTTATCTAAATGATACTCATTCACAAGAAATAAACTTTTTTTTCAAAAAATGAAAAGGAATCCAAACTCACTTTTGTATGCATCATCCCATCCTTTTGAAATTTTAACTGAAAAAAGTGTTGGTCATTTCAGAGAACTGATAGATTGATCAACACACCGATAAAGAAAAGCATTTTAAAAAATGCTGAAATTAAGTTTCCATCTGTAATGTTTCTAAAATATTGAAAACAATAAAAAATACAATATATTAAAAAGAAAAAGACCCATTTCTATTACCATTTCCTGCAATATTCTCTCCTGCCTAGCCCTGTGATAAAAAGTCAAATTATATATAATGACAGAAGTGATAATGACAAAATGTATGCTTCCTAGTCCAGACTGTTAGCAATCTGTCACATGCTTGTCATTTGCAAAATGGGGGAAAAAAAAAAAGAACTCTGCTCTGCTCTCATTTTTCTCAGAAAGTGCTCCCAAAGTTACATGTGTCTTTCAGGAACACATTATTTGCAGTCATGTAGCAAAGCTGGGACACACTTCTAGCATTCAGAATATTCTTTGTGTTTTAATAAGGGAGAAGTAAAAGCACCATATTATTGCTGGGAAACAGCACAGAATTTTAATAGGTTTAAACAGGCAAAGCATGAAGGACAAATCCTTGAGATTAAAATATCTCATATTTAATCCAAAAAGCCCTTTTAGTAATGCAGTTTGGTGATGCTGAGGCTAATGTTGGCTTACTTGTTTTTCTTCCCAATGAAGGCAGCTCTGATCCATATTGTAAACAAGTAATTCTTCATCTCCAGTCGGTAAAATTCCTGCCTGACATTCTAAAGCCTCCACTTTATTCTTCTGATTATGTCACTAGGGATTTCACAAAGCATTTTTCAAAATAAGATTTTCTGGCTTCATCTTCCTGGTTGAAAATCTTTACTAGAAATAAAATGACTCTTCCTGCCTTTGTGGTTCTCTCTATCACTCTGACTCAGCAAGGACATGTGATAATGTGTGCAGAAGGTGAGTGAACAAAGACACCTGTTGTAGGAGAAAGCAGGGAATGGAACTTCCCATGATTCCTTGCTGCCTACTAAGGTTTCCAAGAAGGATCTACTTACAACTGAGAAATACCTAGGCTTCAGTGGTGTTTACTCTCTCTTAAATCCTGTGATAAAGACCAAACGATGAAACCAGGAAATGCTGTATTTTCCCAAAACTAAAAAACCCATTAAAAGGCATCCAGTTATTTTATGAATCAATCAAATGTAGGTAAAAAGATACAATCACTTTAGCATACCCCACCTCAGCCAACTACATTTAAAGTAGACAATTTGTGGACTTACAAGTGATACCATTCATTTCTGGATAATAACCCTAACCTTAAAATACCTATGACTGCATAAGAGAGGAGTCCCAGAAATTATCCCCATTCCATAGGAAATGTTTAGCAAAACTGGGCAGCTACAATAAGTAGCTTGTTAATAATTTGTGACTTTTCTGTGGAACAGCATACCTATATTTCTGATCCAGTATGCAGACATGCTTTAAAATAGTTCAAGCACTCTTCTGCAGAATAATTGATTAAGAAATTAATAATATACTAATCGCCATCTTCTCTCCATTTTTTAAAATAATGCTATGGTATTGCATCAACATTCCACAATGATCTTGCAGTAGAAACCATGGTGCAAGGTTTCTCAACCTCCTTGTTTCAATGATTTTCATCTAGGAGCTCAAGTTCCCAACTTTGACAATACATTTGTACTAGTTTAAATAAATAGTGTTCAAAAATACTATTATTTTTAATTTTAATTTAATTATTTTTAAACTTATTTTGCATGCCACATATCCACAGATATAGAACGTATGTGTCCATTTTGCCTCATCCTTGACTACTTCATCAAGTAGTCACCCAGATCTCATCACCCAGATCTACTCCATCTCTCATTTAGCACAGGGTAGAGATATACAGCTAGATTTCATCAATACGTTGATGATACCTCACCCTGATCTGATGGATGACCACTCCCAGTAGCTTCAGATGTTAAACAGGATAGGGAAGAGGATCAAGCCCTACAACACACAAAAACATATCCTCTATCATCTCAACAGATTCTGTCCATCTGGCTTCCAACTCAGAGTCAATATGAGTTATTTTTTCCATGGAGTGATTGGACAGGTGATCACAATTTATACCAATTTGTTCTTCTGGCCCATCCTTCCCTTAGGGTCCAGGACACTCTCAATAATACAGTTGGCAAAGATTCTGCAGGTACAATAAGAGTGGAAGTAATTTGGCTTAACTTATCATGACAAAATAGGTTTGCACTTGCACTTGCACCCCTGTCCTGTCATATTTGCTTCTTGTTTCCCATCAGCATCACTCCAGGCATCTTCACCCACTTCATTTCTCAGAGTTCCTCAAAAAACCAAGAAGCTGATTGGAAATGGCAGGCAGGGAGAGAGGCTCCAGAAGCTACTGTAACAAGATGTTCAACAGAACTGCCTTCCAGACTGCTGGGTAAATCCCCAAGTGCCATCTGGAAACCTTCTGGATCTATCAGATGTCTGAAGAAGCCATCTTATTCAGACCCTCCTCCGAATCAGCAACTTCAATTAATGGTATTGTCTATCCATGACAAGGGACTGATGGAAATGTCCCTCAAAACCAGATCATATCTCATCTCCTTCAAGGTAAAAGCCAGATCTAATGTATGGCCAGCTACATGAGTCAGGCTTCTAGGGCCATCTCTGACCCCAGAGAGAGAACTTAATATTGCCCAATACTAAGAGGGCTGCCACAGTCTGTTTGGCCCAGTTTATTGCCCTATGGACTTGAAACATATTTTATCAGCACAAGCTTGAATCAAAGTGGAGCCTTGCGACAATTAATTCATACTTTTCAGTTTAGGTTACTGCAGTGTATTATATGCAGGACTGACTCTGAAAGCCATACAGAAACGTCTGTTACTCCAAAACAAGCCAATATAATCATATTATAGAAATACTTCAGGACTTCCCCTGGCTGCCAGCCTATTCTTTCACTCAGTTCAAAGAGCCCTAAATCTATCCTCCTTCCAATGAAGCAATGCAAGCAAGTGGCTGCTTGAGACAGTGTAGATAGTAAAGACATACAAGTAGTACTTGTTTAACTACCACAATTGGGACCAGCAACTCCATCATTAAGCGACGTGTTCATTAAGCGAGACATCACATGACAGCAATTTGCAATTTTCTGCTGGCTTCTCCATTGGCTCTGCTTGTCAGAAGCCAGTTATGAAGTGCACAAATGGCAATCATGTGACTGCAGGACACTGTGACAGTTGTAAATGTGCGGTGGTTGCAAAGTGCCCATATCTCAATCACATGACCGTGGGATGCTGCGACAGTCGTAAGTGTGAGGACCAGTCTTAAAGTTACTTTTTCAGTGTCATTGTAACTTTAGACAGTCGCTAAACAGAGTAGTTGTTAAGTGAGGACTACCTGTAAATAGAAACTGATGAAATTCCTTTCCTAAAGAAACTTATCTGGAACTTGTGTTCCACGTTGTATTCTAGCATGCATACTGAAAACTATTTTAATGCTTTTAAGTCTTCACATGATTTAATTTCACTGCTGATAATACTTTGGTTTTATTGCTGCATTATTTTTATCCTTTGTTATTAGTTTTATTAGGTGTTGGTTTAGCATTATTTATTATTTTGCATTTTATATTTTCATATAACAAAGTAGAAGTTTTGATATTAATTAGCAGCACTCAAAGCTTTCGGTGGAAGGGCCCATCAGCTCCCAGAATACTGGGAAGTCAAGTCCGCACATCTGAAGGATGCCCACACTGGAAAGACTAGTAAATAATCTAACCAAGACTTTATTGTAATAGTTCTAAATAATGACCTACATTGCAGGAAGAGAGCTGTGTTAGTGTATTGTAGCCAAAAATCAGGGGTCCAATAGCACCTATTCAGACTAGCACATTTTATTAAAAGGCACAAGCTTTCATGAGCTTCAGCTCACTTCACATGAAGTTTCACTTTCACAAGTCAAAAGATTTCATGATGAATTCTGGCATTTTGCACAATGTGCAAAAAAATGAATAATTATGAAGAAAGTGGATTATATCAAGGAAGGCAAGAAGGAACTCTCCAATGCTACATTCTACAACTTCTATCCTCAGATCTCACAGTAACATCTCAGAAATAACAATCTGATGAAAGAATGTCCTAAGGACATACAAGACTGTATCTACTTGGAGATACCGGAGGAGCCATGACCAAAAATCTTCTACCTACTTCCCAAAATACAGAAACCAGGCACACCAGGAAACCTGGGCCATCTCATTTTCTCAAGTACTGGAACCATCACAGCTGGAATATCAGATTTCATAGACTCTGTACTCAGACCTTAGACCACCAATACACCCAACAACATAAGAGACACCACAGATTCCCCAAAAAGGCTGAAATCCATTGGCAATCTCCCTAACAACTCTATTTTAGCAATCATTTATGTTGAAACACTCTAACCAACATCCCACACATGGATTTCAAGCTATGAAAAACATCATTGCTGATATCTTGCCAGCAGGCCTTCACTTTGTATTCACCCCAAATGACAACACCCTTGGTAATAACTTATACCTAGAAATCAGTGGCACAGCTTAAGGGCACACACATAGCTCCACAATATTCCAACATTTTCATAGCTGACTCAGAATACTTTCTCAATTCTTACCCCCTAAAACTCTCCTTTGTTTGAGATTCACTGAGTACATTTTCATAATCTTGGACCCACTGAATCTCTCTTCAAATTCCATTATGATCTCAACAACTTACACCCCACCATCAAACTCAGCCCACCTCAACCCATCTAACAGAACAAGTCCATTTCCTCAATGTCACAGTAAAACTACACAATGGACACATAACCAGATTACACAGTAATGAGTTACAGCTCACAAAAGCATACATCTTTTAATTAAACGTGTTAGTTTGAAAAGGTGCTACCAGATGCCTCCTAATTGGTAAATAATTGCCCAGTGGTTGTCTTGAAAATTCTCTTTTCAACATTCAGTATTTCTGCATTTTTGAGAAATTTTCCTTTTTAAAAGTTCAGTTGTCATAGATATTTTTTTACTTATGTATGTTGAGTACAATACCACCATTCAAAACTGTTTCAACAAAATTTACAACCTGTATCAGATCCTCCAAGCCACAATGGTGACTTTGTCTGTTTGCTTCTTTAATAAACTTTTATGGCCACCCACCCACTAAAAGAACTCTGCCATGGTTGGTTCCATAATCAAGTATTTGTATTATGATCTGAGTTTGTAACTGATGAGAGAGTAACTGAACTCACTCATTATTGCACAGAGTTTAAGGAAGTCATTGCTTTAGCTCAGCTGGAATTTCTCGGAAGACCAGAAAAATTGCTCAGTCACTTCCTTAAAATTCTCATGATGAAATGTTAGAATAACAACTGACAATACTTAATATTTAATATGTAAGTAATTAAAATTCTGATTGCATTCAAGACAAGACACTCAAAGACAAAACATTTCATAATGAATTCATTCATTTTGTAATTCAGTGCAAAAACAAATCAGTACAGTGATATGAATAATGCCTAAAGAGAAAACACTTGGATGAAGCCAACAGTTTAAGATAAAAAAATAAAACCAGACAGAAGAAAAGTTGCAGAACTGTTTTGAGGTTGAAAAGTTTTTTCTTGTACATTATGAACACATTATTTAAGCAGAAATGCTGAAGAACCTGGTCTATGTATATAGGAAGACCTGACTATAAATTTTGCACTGTGAGCAATCTTCTAAATATTTGATTTAGGAATACATTAAATAGCTTTGAAATATTTTGTATTTTTCACTTAAATGACAATTTTTCAAGAGCCGAAATGTTAACCCTAATAGAGCAGTTGGATTGATTGATGATGATTATGTGCCAACAAGTTGTTTTCAACTCT